ATATATTAAATATAATTTTAAATTTTAATATATTTTTTTGTATTTGAATTTCAAATTTTGTCGATAATTTTTTTTGTGATTACATTTTACCCCGTAAGACAAATTTATGACTTTGCCCCAAACCAATCTCTTGGGGTCTATTCCCACATAAATCTCTAACTACATGGTGCGTATGGGACAAGAGAATTATGTGTTCGATAAAAATAGAGAAATGTTTTTAAGAGGTTCGAATACTAGGCTAGCGGGAAAAAACAACTACTTAGTAACACCAACAAGTAGAATGGTTAATATATGTCTCAATGCTAATAGTTTGACCTAAAATTTTAAATTATTACCTAACCTAAGTTTAGCTAACAAGTGAGCACGCTAAATTCGTAAAATAAACGAATCGATTTCGTGTTTAACTTACGAACTCCTTCTATTCTACCAATTCGTTTATGACTGCTCTATAAAATCCCAAAAAATTAGGTCAACAACTCAACTTACTAATTTACCGCATCTCTCACCCCTCACCAATCTCTCATTGCTCAGGGGTAGTGGTAGGTTGGTAGCAAATGTAGGATGTTTGAACAGATTAGATTTGGGTTTTCAAGTTGGTAGTAGTTTAATGTTTATTTTTTTGTTTAACCATGCTTTATTATTGTTATAACAAATGGGTTAAATAGATGTATGCGTAGCGAGTTAGATGATTTTTCGTGGAAACCTAAAACACGTTAATCGATTCTCTTATTTAACGGATAACAAGACTACACAAGTTATATAGAATAACTGTGTAATAAACAAATGTGAATGTAATAATTTGACCCATTTATATAAACGAATGAAATATAGGTAAAACATTTTTTTTTTTTATAGGAACTTATTTCACCTGTCCGATNCCTACGAACTCGTTTTATCGTACCAATTCGTTTATGACTGCTCTATAAAATCCCAAAAAATTAGGTCAACAACTCAACTTACTAATTTACCGCATCTCTCACCCCTCACCAATCTCTCATTGCTCAGGGGTAGTGGTAGGTTGGTAGCAAATGTAGGATGTTTGAACAGATTAGATTTGGGTTTTCAAGTTGGTNTCGGTCGCTAAGCCTCCCCCTCTCGGATTCAAGATGTACCTATTCCTCGGTCCGAGATGTACCTCTTTCTTGGCTCCGAGATGTACCTCTTTCTCGGTACCAAGATGTACCCCCTCTCATCCATAATGAAGTTCTCTGCTCCAACATAGGTTATTGATGCACTGGTCACTAGCCTAGGCTAGGCTATGTTAGCTATCATGACCTCGTCTTACACAATTGGTGTCAGAAGGCACAGGAAGGCAGGGGCCACAGCCAATGAGGAATGGACGCGTGGCATATTGTGTCACATCAGAGACAGAAAGACCGCATGACCTTGCTGACACGCGACTTGGGAAAACAAGCATTTAATTACACCATTCCCTTGATGAGACTGCATTCAATGCGGTAAGGCTCAGAAGTGAAAGACAATAAATGTCTCTAAAGCTGGGCATTTATTGCATCCTCTCCGAGAGGAGCTCATTGAACCGTCGGCAGGCCGATGACACAGTCTTGATTGCTCGGGGTCCCGAGCAATTAAGAGAGAAGATATTCCTCATAGGAATCAGTGCGCACGTTGTCTGTATCTAATGATCACCAACTGACCACACTGACAGAAATCATGAGTATTTGAGGTATAAATACTCCTCACTAAAGGCAAGAAAGGAGGTGAAAAACTTTTGCTACAAATTATACTCAATGTTTTCTTCTTCCTCTCTCTCAAAAACTGACTTGATCATCAGAGGGGATACGCCGAAAAACACTCTGGCGCCCTTCTAACTTGTTCTTTTTTGTTCCAGGAACCTTTCTTCAGCCTTACTGGATCATTCCTTTGATCCGNTAGGTAGCAAATGTAGTATGTTTGAACAGATTAGATTTGGGTTTTCAAGTTGGTAGTAGTTTAATGTTTATTTTTTATCTTTATTTTTTTTGCTTAACCATGCTTTATTATTGTTATAACAAATGGGTTAAATAGATGTATGTGTAGCGAGTTAGATGATTTTTCGTGGAAACCTAAAACACGTTAATCGATTCTCTTATTTAACGGATAACAAGACCACACAAGTTTTATAGAATAACTGTGTAATAAACAAATGTGAATGTAAAAATTTGACCCATTTATATAAACGAATGAAATATAGGTAAAACATTTTTTTTTTTTTATAGGAACTTATTTCACCTGATCCGATTGTGAAACTAATTCCTCAGTTCTCTTAAATCTGATTAAAGATGGGAATTTTGTGTATTGCAGTAGGTTTATTATGTTTGAATAAAATGATACTTTAAGTCGTTTTTGGATTTGATTAACCTTATAGGCCCCACATGCCACATCTTCTTTCTTTTTCCACCAAAATCAGGACAAAACTGCTCGTGGGACGACGACTTTTTGACCTTTCGAGTCCTGAAGAGTTTTTTTACTTAAACTGTTTTTTATCTTCCCAGTACGTTCCGTGTGGTTATCTTTTTCTCTTTAGCAAGCACAGCTGTTGCCATCGGATGGATGGTTCATGGGATACTGACCCAATTTTTTTTTTTTTTTAAATTAAAGATTTGAGAATTGATCATTATATTAGTCTAATTAAATTTATTTTTGAAAAAAATAATTTTTAAACTTTCTCCTTAGTCCCTATTTTTTTTCCCATAGCTAAAAAAGAAAGCACAAAGTAGGTTGGTGGAACAATTGAACATATCTCTAGGATTTCAGCTAAATGACATATTCCTCCTTCAGTTTTGGATAATAATAGTAACATAAACAATTGGTGGACGGGTTTGTTTCTATGTTGGAGTAAATTATAACTAAATAATCGCAATTGGCTGTTTGTTCTTCCCTTAAATATTTGATTTTTTTTTGTATATTACAATAATTGTCACTTATATAATGGCAAAATCAATTGTATCTACCATCCTATGTATAAAAAATATTTGTCTCTAACACTTACGTCACAATCAAAACAATACACAACCAATTGTTTATGTTCTTTTTTTTTTTTTTTTTTGTAATTTAGTTGATGTCCCACCAATACTCACTTCTTTCATCTTCACGTTAGATAAATTAGCACTCAAATAATCACAAAATCCGGCGTATCTCCTACTCATATCACAATCAAAACCAACACTATTCTTGCAAATCATAATAATAATATAAGAAAAAACCAACAAAATCAATTCAGTCTATTCCACTTGATTACTTAACTTTTTCGCAACCCCAAGATAGTTTAATAATGATATTTTGAATTTAAATTTTGATAATTTCTTGGGTTCAAGACATGAGAGAATAATACACTAATTTCGACGTGAATAATTTATTTTTGACCAGATTAAAGAAAGAATTAATCGAAATACTTGTAAACCGGCTTAGAAAACCCTAATCATTGAACCAAAAAAAAACTCTAACACAATGGTCAATTTTATTCATTTTAGAATTTTTTTATTAAATAGTTATTAGAAAACATTTACTCTTTTAATGATTGGTCTCCAATCTCTCTAGTGTTTCTCTATTCTTGGTTTGGATATGGATAGGACATTTTCGGAATACTCCAAGATGAAGACGTGTGTTCTCGTGTCACTGATCCTTGTTATCGATATCACGTACCCATCGGGTCACAAGTCCTCTCTACCCCGAGGTACTTATCATGGGATCGAGTGGCATCCAGTACGTTTTTATGTACCGACACGTACCCTCGGTTTGATATGGTACATCGGTCGCTAAGCCTCCCCCTCTCGGATTCAAGATGTACCTATTCCTCGGTCCGAGATGTACCTCTTTCTTGGCTCCGAGATGTACCTCTTTCTCGGTACCAAGATGTACCCCCTCTCATCCATAATGAAGTTCTCTGCTCCAACATAGGTTATTGATGCACTGGTCACTAGCCTAGGCTAGGCTATGTTAGCTATCATGACCTCGTCTTACACAATTGGTGTCAGAAGGCACAGGAAGGCAGGGGCCACAGCCAATGAGGAATGGACGCGTGGCATATTGTGTCACATCAGAGACAGAAAGACCGCATGACCTTGCTGACACGCGACTTGGGAAAACAAGCATTTAATTACACCATTCCCTTGATGAGACTGCATTCAATGCGGTAAGGCTCAGAAGTGAAAGACAATAAATGTCTCTAAAGCTGGGCATNTAAATTTATTTTTGAAAAAAATAATTTTTAAACTTTCTCCTTAGTCCCTATTTTTTTTCCCATAGCTAAAAAAGAAAGCACAAAGTAGGTTGGTGGAACAATTGAACATATCTCTNCTGGGCATTTATTGCATCCTCTCCGAGAGGAGCTCATTGAACCGTCGGCAGGCCGATGACACAGTCTTGATTGCTCGGGGTCCCGAGCAATTAAGAGAGAAGATATTCCTCATAGGAATCAGTGCGCACGTTGTCTGTATCTAATGATCACCAACTGACCACACTGACAGAAATCATGAGTATTTGAGGTATAAATACTCCTCACTAAAGGCAAGAAAGGAGGTGAAAAACTTTTGCTACAAATTATACTCAATGTTTTCTTCTTCCTCTCTCTCAAAAACTGACTTGATCATCAGAGGGGATACGCCGAAAAACACTCTGGCGCCCTTCTAACTTGTTCTTTTTTGTTCCAGGAACCTTTCTTCAGCCTTACTGGATCATTCCTTTGATCCGCGAGGATCTCCCATTACTGTTCTAAATTACCATCGGATCTCACAGGCTGTTCCAAGCAGCGTGGTTAACCACTCAATTGACTCACTCGAGTTCACCAAAAAAAAGATCTGTTCTCGTTTTTATATTGTGCAAGATCTAGCACGCACATATATGATCTTAGAATCATTTCATAATACAAGGATTCGATATTTGTTCATCAAATTTGATAAATAAAAAAATCATAGCTGCCAAAATTATGATAATATTATTGAACAAAAATGTTTTTCAAACTCAATTCTCAGTCCATATCTATCAACCAATCGAGCTAAATTAAAAAAAAAAAAAAAAAAAAATCATTCTCTAGGACCTAGAGAGATCGAAATGCCCGTAGGGAACTTTACCCTGTCCGACCAAATTTTCGACTCTAAATACAATTTCGAGATCTTACCAGCCACGCGGCGCATGTTTGGCCTCTGATCGGGTTCAACGTGTACGCACTCAAGTGCTACACGTGTTATTTTCTCTGCCACCTCCACTGGGAACGAGTCCTTCAACTTCCCGTCCACCCATCTCCTCAACCTCCACTCCACTCCGTCTTCTCCACGATCACCACCACCGTCATCTCCGTCACCGTCCACCACCACCTTAGCCCTATCTATAATCGAGATTTTTCTATAATTCCCACTTGCTCTATCGAACTTGTATCTCAATGGCTCTTCACCGGACAAGAGTTCGAGAATCACAACCCCAAATGCGTACACATCGGATTGCTGCGTCGCCACTCCGGTCAGTTGAAACTCCGGTGACATATAACCTCTAACCCCTTCAAATTGCAAGACTCGACTGTCCAATCTCCTCAAATCCGCCGGTGACTCCGAAACCTCTTCGGTGATCTCGCCGGAGCCACCTATTTTCACGACATTACCTTCCTTCTGTTCACCTACAGCCTCACCACACAGCTCCGCCGTGCCGAAGTGACAAATCTTGGCATTAAACGAGGGCTCAGTGACAATCACACCACTGCTCTTCACGTGTTTATGAACCAAATTTATGCTCATACCAGTGTTGTTGTGAATATAATCCAAGCCGTGCGCTAGATCAGTTGCAATCTGCATTCTCGACATCCATGTGGAAAGAACAGTAAAGTTAGCGTTTCTAGGGTTTCGAAGACAATCTACGAGGTTCGCACCGTGCATATAGTCATACACCAAGTATATATGGTTACCAGAGATTGATGCTCCAAGAAGCTTGATTATACTCATGTGGTGGCTTCTACATATGATGGACAACTTGTCCTTGAGTTCCGATGTTTCCATTTTCCGCCGAAACTTCCGTTGAAAAATGATGACGTCTTTGTCGCGGAGAGTGCACCGCCATGAGGGGGTCGGAGAGGCGGAGTAGCGTTTGGCGAGGAAGTTATTGGTGGCGGAGCGAATTTCAGAGAAATCGTAAATGTGAGGTTTTTCAGGTAACGATCCACGGAGGCTCGTCAAGGAAGTCCGGCTTGAGAGTGAGGCTGTAGCAGTTGATGTGTCGAGTCTGTAGCTTGAGCCGGAGGAGTAATTGGCGCTGGTGATGTTACTGGTTGATGGATCGGACGGTACTGCTGATCTTGGGGATTGGGGCACGGCGGAGGGCTGCGATGTTGAGGTTCTGGTGGTGGCGCGTGAGTTCCGTGAACTTCTTCTTGGGGTTGGGGGTGAAATTGAAGTAGGTTCGGCGGCGTTGGTCGCCATTCTTGATCTACACATATGAGGAATGAATAGGAGCGAAATTGACGAAGAAGAGGAAGTGAATTTTGGGAGAATTGGGAGTTGTTGATTGAGTCATAGACGCTGTGAGAGGGAAGGTATTGGTGGTCTGTATATGCTGTGAAGCTGAGTCAAGAAACTAGGATGTGGTTGAATGGAATAGGAATAGTATGGGTCTAGTATGAAGCCAAGCTAAGAGCTCGGACATATCCAAAATTGTGTTTGAGGATTTGACAGATTCGAGCTCGGCACATAATTTATTAAATAATTTTTTAAATTTATTTAAAAAAGGTGCTTAAAAGACTTGATTTGAACTCGTAAAATTCTTTATATATAAAATAATCGAATTATTCCGATTCGATTCGAATTAAAATTGTTTTTAACTCAGCTTGGACTAAACTCATTTTTTAGACGGATCAAGTTTAAACAATTTTTTAGAACTATTTAAAAAAAACAAGTTCGATATGTTGGACTCGAGTTCATAAAGTTTGGCCTAATTATTAGCCCTGCATAGCGAAGGAAGGGGGGTACGAGAGACGAAGAGATGACAGCTTTTGATTTTTTTTTTTTTTTTTTTTTGGGGAGTGCATTCCACCCTTAAAAGAATTCATTTTTCTATACACTACTAATGAATTTATTAGGCCTTAATAAAAAGTATATCAACTACATCAGGAATAAGTTTACATGCCCCTGCCTACTATTCTTCTTGCCGCCCTGTATCCAAGGGTGGAATCATGAAAATTTTTTAGAGCGGGTACGCTAGGCATGTTTTAATTTTTTGTTTAATAGATGGTAAAAGTTCATAAATTTATATTTATTGAAATTATATTTAATACTTTTTAAACATGAAAGAATAAAAATCGATATATATAACATGAACAAAAAAATAATAATTAAAATTTTTTATCGAGAATGAGACTAATTATTATCACTTACAATTGACCATAGTATATTTTTATTATTTAAAAGAGTTACAAATTAATTTTATCAACAATATTCTTTTATATATAAATCGCGGTAACAATATTTCATTTAAGATTTTATAGTTTATTATATAACGATACACATTTTTATATAATAACAGAATAACCTTATAATTTTTAAAAAATTATAAAATAACATCAATATATTCAAAATATATTTGGATATAGTTGAAACATGTTTAAAATTTAACAATAATATTAGTTACACCTAATTTGAAATTTAATTGAAAGAGACCCAATAATTTGTAACCATTGGATAGATAGTAAAATTTATTAAATATTAAGACTCACTATTATACTTAATATCACAACGTATTAGATCTTTAAATTAGGTTTCAATAACATTATTCAAAAGTTAACAATCATTTAAGTAGAAGTCTATCCAATTCGATATCATCAGAATATAATATTAGAGTGAATATATTTAAATATATCTAAATTTTATTTTAATATATACATGCCTAATATAAAACAAAAAAAAAAAATTAAGGAGAGGGGGGGGGGGGGGGGGGGGGGGCGCCCCCCC